AGAAATGGTTGAATAATAAAATTTTGAAGACTAAAAATTAAGTGGGGATGGCTGATACTTGATATTTAGTTTTTTCCAACCCTTGTTATCAATTAAATGGTATGGGTGGCTTCACTCTCTTTTACTTGTCCTCTCCTTTAATGAATGTTCAAGATTTTTCCTAGGAGTCTGGATGACGTTTCGAACTATCAGCAAGCTTGATTTCCACTAGTGTCGGAATTAAAGTCGCTGCATTAGTAAATTATTTAATCTATATGAAAGGAGTTACCTTTGTTCTTCAAGGCTATGCTGCTATCAAAAATTAGAATTTACTATGCAAATTTTACATGATAAGTCTTTTATTGCTAATTTTAAAGAATATGTTTGTAGATATGAGCAATCAACAATTAATGGACAATGGTAACAGGATGATGGATGAAACAGATCAAGCTATTGAGCGATCAAAGAAGGTTAGCTTCTTAACTACTCAGTGATAATTATTTTTCAGTATTTTGTTTCCTAGACTTGAAATGAATTTCTTTTCAGTCTGTAGCTCAAAAATCTTACCAACTCTGCACGCGCGCTCGCGTGTGTGTGAGCGCGTTTGTGTGTATTTATTTGTAACAGATGTTTGTGTTTCTATAAACATTATGTTTTTTTGGCATTTGCTTGTGTCAAGGTTAATTATGTATGTTTCTATTTATTATAGCTATGTAAATATGAGAACTGAAAAAAATTGGGTTGCCTACTCCTTTTCCATATTGTCTATGAACATGGTGTCAAAGCACCAGGTTTGTGGTAGGTTCTTAATCAGATCTCATTAAAAAAATATATCTTACCGTGCTGTTCTGCCTTTTCATGTCCGAAGCTCACATTAAGGAGAGTTTTAGTTATTATGTTTGCTTGACATACATTGTTAGCTCACAACCCACAATTCAAACCTTTGGATAAAGTGGTTTACTCTTGTATTATCGTCTCCTTTTCCTATCAATCAACCAGTTGCTGGAAAAAGATAGATTGCAGGTCATGCTCTTTCGTAGAACAAGAAAATAATTTGTGCGTTTGGTTATTTAAGTTAATATTCTTCGTATCTTCTAGTGATACACTTCTATCACCGACTCCCTTACAATGTTTAAGAATTTCATTATCATCTTAGACCACTAGACCATTTGATATAGACTTAAAATACAAGGTCTAACATGTTTGTAGTTTTCGCTATATTTGAAAATCTCAATTTAACTAGGTACCTGGGAGTGTAAGCAATTGTTTATATGCTTCTCAGCAATTACGTGTAATCTTGCTCCAAATGTTTAATGATGGGCCTTATGTGCAAAATATTTCGTTCGACAAGGCTTCACCACCCACTAAGGCTTATGAATAGAAGGTTGGCATGATGTTTATTGGGCTTATGCTTTTCCATGGAGCTTCTTATCTGTGCTATATATTCAAGACTCCAATGTGCTATATATTCAAGACTCCAAAGTGGATAGGGAAGCATCAGCTGTGTTCTAGAAATTGTCAAGTACATACTGGAATTTCTCTTTAGTTTTTTGTCCTAATATTTGATTTTTTTCTGTTTCCTTTTGTATTTTAGGTAGTTGAAGACACAGTTAATGTTGGGGCTGAGACTGCAGCTGCTCTCAAGGCACAGGTGTGTCATGGATGGTGAATGAGAAATCTTATTTTACCTGTGGTTTTAATTTAATTTGACTAGTTCTTATCTATACTGCCAGACTGAACAAATGAGCAGAATTGTTAATGAACTTGACTCAATTCATTTCTCGATCAAGAAAGCAACTAAACTGGTTAAAGAAATTGGCAGACAGGTCTGTCTGTAAGCCTTTTGTTTCATTCTCATTCTCTAACTCTAAGCTTATAATTATCTTTCTTCTCACTTCTAATTTTGTGTTTGTTTGTTAAGGTTGCAACTGATCGTTGTATAATGGCCATGCTCGTCCTGATTGTAATTGGTGTAATAGCAATTATCATTGTGAAGGTCTGGCACCCATATATTTGATTTTTTGCTGTTATCGGTGTTGCGCTTGTTACCTATCACATTGTTAATATAGTCTTCGCTTCCAAGCTTATGTTGCACTTGTTACTTATTATGACATGAACCATATAGAGTGGACAAGTGGCTAACCTTTTCATAATGTATGGATGTACCTGCTATTAACCCTTTAAATCATTTAGGTGAGTATCTAGTATACCTATTTTAATCATTGCATTCTTGGAGTGGAGCATACAATCCCCAGTTCTTAGGAGTTCTTTTGATTATATATGCTTTAAGGAAGCACTTCATCATTATTACAATGAGCTCTATTGCTGTTGCCACAATTTTTTGTTCTAGTGTTTGTAGGGTTAAAGAAGTTTAAATTTCACTTAATCCCCCGGAACTTTGGGAGGGTTTGCATATAACTCGCCTAAAGTTTTTTATTCCCCTTACCCTGTGAAGTTGGTCTCTGTCAACCCCTCAAAAGCAACATCGTGAACTTTGACGGTTCACTTGCAAGCATGTCACAGTAAAGAACAAAATAGCCCTCACTTTATTAAAATTAGCCCTATATCCCTAGTTTTCAAAAAGGGCATTGTGGTTTCACCACTAACAAGTAACGGTGTTAGGAAGTGTGTGTGTGTGTGTGTGTTAGGAAAAATTCAAAGTTCAGGGGGAGTTAAGTGAGACACCTAAACTTTAGGGGGATTAAGTGGAATAGAAAAAACTCAGCGGGGTTATGTGCAAAATCACCCCAAGTTCAGGCGGTTTAGTGGAATTTACCCTAGAGGAATCCAGCATAGACTTTGCCAAATTCTATGTCTTGACTAGTCCGGCTTGGAATTAAGATATAGATATCTGTCCGTTCCCTTTGAAATTATTTTTCTATGCAGTGCTACGGCAGTGTTATTCTCTTGTTTCTTGTGGGATTATTTTTGCAATTATACTAATTTATTTCTTCTTTAAATGACAGATTGTTAACCCTCATAACAAGGCGATCCGTGATATACCTGGACTTGCGCCACCAGCTCAATCTAATCGAAAACTTCTGTGGGATTTGAATGAAACATAACTCCTTGCATCATATGTTCCTTCCCCTAATTTTCGACTATGGACATCGATCATCTTTGTAGTGCTTGATGTTTTGGTGGGTGGTGATTCTTTGCGAAACATTGTACTTGTTGTATTACCTTCATTTTTAATAGACAAACACTAAATTTCATTTGTGTAATACCATTTGTAATACATAAACTTTCTACTCTGAAATACAAAGTTCCCTTGAGTGCATTGCTATTATGTGTTTTCTCATTGTATCATTTCCCTTTTTTTAGGGCAGGCTGTGTAACTGGGGTTTGTACACTTCTTGGGTACTAGTGTAGTCAATAGTGTACGTGCGATGTGCATAGACATATGCCTGGATATTTATAATGCATAGAGAAAAAAAAAGTCTAAAATGAAAATGAACTCCTGTGCAATCCTGTAAACTAATGTAGAAAGTTCTCAAGGAGCAAATAAATTCTTTTTTTTTTTTAAATTTTCTCCCGTTCTCTCGATACTAAGCATTGACTTATTATTATTCATGAACTTTAATAATTATTATCATTTACGTAGAACTAGCTAGGTATTCTGTTCTTTTTTTTATTGTTTAAACATGGAAATTTCATAAACTATTGTACATAACCCTTGTCTCTCATGAACAATTATAAATGTTTTGATTTAGTCAAGTCGTGCTACATTCCCACTAATAAGATGCTACTGTTAAAATTACCTATCGGTAAAAAATGAATATGAAAATTTTTGTTAGCCATATTTATAATTTACATCAGTGATCTGATAATTTTCTTTGTAAATTTTCAACATTCTCAAATCATGTTGATGTTGTGTTGATTTGTAGCTTTTCTATTAGTAAACCATTTTCTTTATTTACGATTCTTGGGTTTAGTTCAAACGCTTGTTCTATTATTAAATAGCATCGCTAATTCTATATTAAAAAAACTATCTTTAGTAGTAGTGAAAGCTAATTATTAAATAGCATCTCTAATTCTATATTAAAAAAACTATCTTTAGTAGTAGTGAAAGCTAATTTCTACTTATGCATTCGGAGCTCACCATCGCTCAAATGTGGTTATAGCTCACACTTGAATATCTTGTATGTCAAACACAAACATATCTACCTATGCACAAAAATATTCTCATTGAAAATTTAGTACTTCCCAAATATAATTCAATACATGTGAAAGATAATTTTCACTCCTTAACATTAATTTTCTGTTTTGTGAATTGAACATATAAAGTATACGCAACTTACAACACTACAATTTAGGCGACATCAATAAATTTACCAAGTATTTGGCATTCACGCTAGTCTTTTGTCCCTTGCATATGTCACAAAGAGACCATCCTCGCATTATTGCTAACACATGATTCCTACGTAGTCGTGAGAAACACAAATAAATAAAAATTATAATAATAAGTAAGGAAAATGTATATGAACTGGTAGCACATTTTAAGGAAAAATGTATATGAGCTAATAGCCCATTTTGCAAAATGGACAGCCAGCTCTATGACATGTGAGCCCTCTACTCGTCACATCGATGTGGGGCTCACATGTCATAGTGCTGGCATCCCATTTTGCGAAATGGGCTGTCAGTTCATAGCCAATGGTTTCCAATAAGTAATGATGGGTGAAAAAATTTACTGTCTTCAGCGTCAAGTCTGTTAAAACCAAGCATTTCGACCACCATCGGTCAAGGCTCAACTTTAATATGCAAATTTAAACTTAACAAAATAGAAGTCTCATAATTTATTTGGGGCGCTTGGTTTTGTGCCTAGTAATATTATTCACCGCCTGTGGACGGAAAAACAATAAAACAAAGCCAACCCGTCTTTCAATTCGCCTCCCGTTCCATTGAAATTCCAAGATTTTTAATATCTTCCTGAAGTGAAAAGGCAGCTGAAGCTGTCAAGACCTTTATTGATAGCATGGGAACCTCCTTCACTAGTGTTTATGGAATCTCCTTCCTTTGGTAGTGGGTGCGTTAAGAGGTAGTGGGGGGATTTGTTTGGTTATTGATGCAGATTAATGTGCAGAAATAAATGGTACTTGGGGAGGTTATGGGTGTATGATTAAATAGAAATTTTGATATGTAATTAATGGAGAGGCTATTGAAGGCACCCTAGGGGGGTGAATGGGGTTTATGCTAATCTAATCTGATATTAATGTCAATTAAAAATTTATTAATATAATATCATAGCAATTATGATATATAACGATATATATGAGCAAGGATATGCAATATAAACAAGGGCGATATAAACATGCAACAATTGCGATATGAAAATATACAAGAATAAATACGCCAAAGCCAAACTCAAACACAAGAAAATGATCACGGAGTTCGGTCATTCCGACTACGTCTCCGCTCCCCACTACCGGGGAGAATCCACTACACAACCGGGTTTTCAACGCTCACCCGAAAAACGTTTACGCCTCACAATTCAGTTTTCTACGCTCACCGACAAACGTTTACAACTCACACTTGTAACTACACAAATACAACCTCAAGTGTTGGCCTCTCACGTGTCACCTTCCTAAAGTGTTCGGAATTACCACATCTTTCTAGGCTATACCACCGACCCCACTCCTCTTGGAACCGACCACATCACTCACAGCTACACTCCTCTTGGTGTACTTGTGTAATACAATATGACCTCACAAATAAAAGCTCAACAACAAATGATTTGTTCTCTAAACAAGATGAGAACTCAATTAAGCCCAACTCAATGTTACAATCTCACAACCCTAAATATACTATGTATGAAAATACTAAGAGATCAAGTGGGTGTGTGTAACAAAGAGAAAATAAAATATAAACTCAATGTAAAATCTAGCTTATGGAAATTATAATCAAAATAATAAATAGCTAGAATTGAGTATAAGAAAACTTCTCTATGATGACAAGAGAGAAAGAGAGATTGAGATGAAGCTCAAACAGCAAGGATGATCTCCTCTAGCTCTTGTGAAAATCTCTTCACAAAACCAAACTTGGAACAAGGCTCTAAACAGCTTTAAACAAACTAAACAAATCTTAAACTCTTTTAGAAACTCTTTTAAACTTGTTTAAAACATTCTCTTAGTTAGTTAAGAGGACTGAGGTATGATGGAGTATATATAGGAAACCCGAAAGCCAAGAAGAACCCAAGAAAAATGCCAAAAAGCCCTAAAAATCAAAACCAGAAATCTAGCCATTACAGGCAACGGCTACACAATGACTACATCGGCGGTCGACTGCCAAACAAGTTCCAGTCGACCGTGAACAGTACCGACAGATTCTGAAACCTGGAAATCTGCGTATCTAGCTTTGTAAAATCAATTAAAAATAGTAAATCAACTCCAAAAATTATGAAAATTTGAGGGAAGTATATAAACATGTACATAAACATATTAAATAAAGAATTTCTTAAATATCACTTCTTCTTTATGATAAATAATTATTTGAACACAGATATTACAGATTCTGAAAAACTGCTGAAACACTCGATTTTGTAAAATTAATTCAACATAGTAAATCAACTCCAAAAATAATAAAATTTTGGGAAATAGTTATAAACATGTAATAGAATATGTTAGAAAAAGAATTTTTTAAATTGAATTTCCTATTTTATGAAGACTCGTTTGTTTTACAAAAACATGCACGAGCATGAACTTATGAAAACTTGATTTTATAAATTCAATTAAAAATAACAAATTAACTCCAAAATTAATAAAACTTTGGAAAACATTTATAAAGATAAAAAAAAAACATGTTAAAGAAGGAATTTTTGATATATCAGTTCGTATTTGTGAAAACTTACTATTTTGTAAAACTTGTAAATACATGTGTATATAAACTTCTTGATTTTTGACTTTTGAGTTAAACAATGTTTTGAAACCTTATAAAATAATTTTATAGACTTAATAAAAGATGTATATAATGATTGTTAAGTCCAAAAACCAATAACTTAATATTTTGTCAAAATTACTCAAAATCAAGAATTGTGTGTATGTGTGATATTGAGCTCTAAGTATAAATACACAAAGCATAAACCTAAACTAATTGTACCCAAGCTATAGATCTTCGATGTAGCTCAACTTGGTTGTGGATGAAGCTTGAACTTGAATCTTTAACTTAAATTATGCATAGGCTTCACTCCACTCTTTTAGCCAACCTCCATTTGATATGATCGTTATGACACAATCCATCCAACCTCCAACTGATTGTTTGTCTAGAATAAATATAAAAATACAAGCACTAGACAAACAATATTAGTTATAAATTATTTATTAAAACATCATCAAAATAAAAAATCTAATAATCTCCCCCTTTTTTATGATGACAAACAATTTACACAAATTTTATATAAAATGTACAATAAAGCACAATACTCATAAATATAAATATACTAACATATTTCTTCCCATTTGGCAACATCAAAAATAGGGATATAAAAGAAATAGGAAAGTGAAAGCTCTCCCTACCTATAAGCATGGTGAGTATAGAAACAAATAATAGGGAATAGCTCCCCCTATCAAAAAGCCTTATCCCTACCTATAAGCATGGTGAGTATAGAAACAAATAATAGGGAATAGCTCCCCCTATCAAAAAGCCTTAATGAATATATGCAATGATGACCAAGGAGAAACAAATAATAGGGAATAGCTCCCCCTATCAAAAAGCCTTAATGAATATATGCAATGATGACCAAGGCAAACATATGTGAGCAAACATAGATGAAAAACATGCTAATCATAACTCACATACAACAAGACTATGAGAACACATATAAATATATTAATATGAAAATGTGTGTCTCAATACACAAACATAAAAATACTATATAAATAGATTTATGAAAACAAAAGAATGAAGAACATGAGAATCATGAAAAAAAGTTTTCAAATGAAGACAAAAACATGAGAACCATGAAAATCATGACAACTAATCATGAAAGTCTAAATAAAAAATAAATCACTCATATGAAATCATAAATCAAAATCCAAGTCAAAAAAATAAACCAATATTAATTTTTGTCATATATGACAAGAAAACAAGAGAGGTAACAATATCAAACTCTTAAGCTTGTTCCAACTCATATAAAAACTATTAGCACCCAGTAAACATAATTTGAAAATAAATAACCACTAAACTTGTGGGGTTGCTTAGATACAAACCTATCATATGAAAACTCAAAACAAAGTATATATATCCAACAATGATGTTTGATCAATAAAGGGAATTTTCTTAGTAAAACTTGAT